TCTCGTCGACAAGGCCTCGCCTGAAGTGCTAGCACGGGAAGTCTCCTTGTCATTCCTCCTCAAATCGTAGTTCGTCAAAGCGTTAGTCACTTCACTATAGCTGATAGAAGATATTCCGTTCAACAAAGTGAGCACGAAGGTATCATACTCCTCATCCGGTAAGGAGCCCAACAAAATAATCGCCTTGTACTCATCCGATATCTTCTCATCAACATTCGCCAAGTCCGACAACAACTTCGTGTAGTTGTTCACATGAGCCGCTAGCGAGGTACCTCTGGACATCTGGAATCTGAATAACCTACGTAGCAAGTGCAACCGGTTCTCAACACTCTTCGTAAGGTACTTATTGTTGAGAATTTACCACATCTTCATCGCAGACGTCACCCCAATCACATCATACTTCAGCTCCTGTTCCAAACAGGACCTGATCACCCCACAAGCGTTCCTATTCATCTTCTCCCATATCGCCTCATCATATTTAGGTGGCCTACTAATTTTGGTGTTTTGAAAACCAACTTGTATTGTACCCGCCATCGATTTGCTGCTTTCACCTTCTTCTCTCATTGCAAACTAACTCCAAATTGTAGAGAAAGAACAAATTTGATAGAATTAGGAACCACCCAACTGAACCCTAGATCGGATTCCAAATAGATCTCCTATCCACACGAGGAAAGCGAAATCTCCAACGGCAACTCCTAATGCTATTTCCACCGAAGCCGAGAACTCCAATAACTAAGCTTCACACAAGAATCTTTCTCCACCAAAAAACCCTAGATCTGAAATCTGGGCTCTGATACCACTTGTTGCGCGCAGCGGAAATTTTGGCAGCACTTCGGCAGCACAACAAGAGAGTCAGATCGCAATAAGAATTCCCGTCTCACCAAGGAGACAAGAATTTGAAGCGGATATCTCAACCAAGTGAGATATCAGCTCTTCCTCTCATCAGTTCTAGGACTGACCTGTCGATGGATCCTAAAAGCTATTACAAATCACACAAAAGCAGTACAACCAATTTTTACGTGGTTCGGCAAATTGCCTACGTCCACGGGGCAAGGAGAGGGGAGATCTACTAATAGAGGGAGAGAATACAACTAGGGTTTACAATCATTCACAATCTAAATCCTCAAACAAACTCTCAAATCCCTCATAAATATCTCTCTACAAAAGGATGCACAAAAAACAAAGAAGGGACTGCACAAAACCCAAAAAAATAAGCCTCTGCCTTTTTTTTCTTTTGCACAGCCTCTCTGCCGCAGCCGCAAAAGAGAAAACCAAACTCCCTTGCACAGTAGCCGCAGCCGCAAAATTGCACCCAGCCGAAAACAATTTACCTCCTGCGCCTGCTCACACGAAACAAAACCCTAGGTGACTATTTATATCAGGTAAGTGGGCACACGTTATCAAAACGCGTGGGAGGAATCAAAAAAAACAAAACCGAGTCGGTTTTGCTTCGTACGCGGACTCAACAAGCACGTGGGTGGGGGCCCACGCCCACGTCCGCTCACATAAATTACTCTAGAATTTGAAAGGGATGGGCTGCTTACTTGAACCGTGAAATTTTCATCACGTGCCCTTCAATTCTTTTGTTTAGCAATGCAGGTATGAGCAATATGAAACAAGATATAGTATCACTCTGCCTTAACGTAACTCACGGATGCCTTTAAATTTATCAACCCCAGTCAATATTCCTCAAGCCCTCCTCATAATAAAGGCTACTATTTCTTGAATAATTAAGACAATCCTTGCAAATCCACTATCCAATATAAAATGCCACTTTCTTCTTACATAAATCACATTGCAGTCTTGGGCTTTAAACTTTAGAGACTTAACGCCTCTTCATATAGGTGGATTTGATCAGTTGATAAGGGGGTGCTAGGGTACTGTTTATTGGAAGCTTAGAGTGAGTGACAGGCATGTAAGCAAATTAAGGAACATCAAAGAACCATTTGTATGAAGTGAACTAATATTGAGAGCTAACTTGATAACGTGCAGCGCTAAGGAAATTTTCTTATAGTGACATCTATTTCCTTGGAGCATTGTCAAATTGATATTTAATCCGTGGACCATCCTTTTGACATGTAGTCAACCTAGAACCTCTTACATGTTGACACTTAACTTACATTAACCTCTTATGTTGACACGTGATCCTCTTGCATATACTTCAGATTGTCTCTCAAGTTCTACAAAGCACAAAATGTTACTAGGATAAATCTAATAAGATCAGTTATCTCAATAGATATTATTTTTTAACTATTAGAAAAACACTATAATTTCCAATTATTACACATTTATACAAACAACCTATTTTAATCCAACTTAGTGCTACTTAGCATCACAAGTATGCCACAAAAGTTCTGTGGTGTGCTCACGTAAAGTCATAAAGAACTAGGAGTTTCTATTATTTCTTAAACATGACATAAATCAAACTAACTTTAAATTTACTAGTATATATGAAAATAAAGGAACAACCTCCATTTGCAGCCCCTTACCAAAGGCTAAACTTCTTAGGACTAAAAAGTCTGTTATATCACTTCTAGCGTGTATTCTAAAATTTTGAGATTTCTAACAATTTTCAACGTCCGATTGTTAAGGATATTACACATTATGCAAGCAAGGATTTATTGTAAAGACACAATTTGCATAAATGATTACTTCTGTAAACCTCCTAAAAGGGCTGAGTAAAGGTATATTCTATATCCCTTCCTATTGTATGTACATTTTTTCTGGATTTTTTATTTATTTTTATTGTTTTTCAAATTCTTTTCTTGTTCCATTTTGTAAAAAACAAAACAAAAGTAAAAAAAACAAAAATTCCTTTTTCTATCTTTTTGATTTCTTTAAAAAATAAAAAATAAAAAAACTTGGATATGCCTATGTATATGCTTTTATAGGTTTGATTCAGATGATATTATTCTTTTGATGATAGGCTTGATAATGTCTCACAATAATTAAAAGATGATTACATGACATGTTGTTTACACAAAATACTTAACGTAGTAATTTCACACATCTATTTCTATATTTATCATATTTTGTGATGTGAAATAGTGGTAGCGAGTCCTATATTTGGTTTATAGATATGTTTTTGGTTATCAAGTGTTTTTTAGCTTATTTTTTACTTGGCTGATGCACAATTCTTTCTCTTTGTATGCGTTAAAGTGCATTTGTTTCAAATATCAATCAAACAATAAGCGTGTATCTATTAAAAGATGATCAAAGATCTACACTCTTATAAAATCCAAGGAAATTTTGAGTGTATTTATTAAAAATGGTTAAAGACCCATGTTCATCCTGTATTGACTATCCTAAATCGTCTGTCAAACAATATCGTTCTTCCTCCTGAATCCTATATCGTAAAGATGATAGGACAACACTGGTTCCTAGCCTCTAAGGTTAAGATAGTTCAAGTCATATTATTGCTCAATATTCACTTTAATATACCTAAATTTGTCCAATGAACCAGCATAAGTTATTTCACTATATGTTTCACACAGTTTACATTGATAATTTAATCTTTTATGTGTGCTTTCCTACATGTTTTCTCTTATATTCATGTGTTTTATCATTGAATTTTGATCCATTATGCTATTTTTAATAAATTTTTTGTGTGAACTGGTGTGCTTTTCTCTCCCACATATCTTTTGGATGATTTTTAACTAAATTTATCTATATTTAGTATATCCGTTGGTATATTTTCTACTTTTGCTATTAGCAAAATGGGAACAATTGTGATGAGTTTTTGCATGACCAGGTTTTTCGTCAAAGTGGTTTCATTGGCTTAGATTTTTTTAGTTTTTAAAACACTCGATGCATTATTTTAGGGGGAGTTTTACGATATCTGCCCTTGATTACACTTTTCATGAATGCATGAATGGAGAAGGAGCTTCGTATATCATTTTCTTTTACATGAGAGTGTCTTTGTGCTTATTGCCATTGTTTATCACTACTAAAAAATTAGGCATCCTAGACGGAAAATTCCGTCTAGGATACACAGAATTCCGTCTAGGATGCGTATCCTAGACGGAATTCCGTCTAGAATACCCGTCTAGAATGTTTTCGTCTAGGATACAGTATTCTAGACGTATCCTAGACGGAATTCCGTCTAGAATACCCGTCTAGAATGTTTTCGTCTAGGATACAGTATTCTAGACGGAAATTCCGTCTAGAATACATCGTAGACGGAATATTCTAGACGGAATTAAAAACCGTCTAGAATACATTCTAGACGGAATATTCTAGACAGAATTTCCGTCTAGAATACATTCTAGACGGAATATTCTAGACAGAATTTCCGTCTAGAATAAATTATCATAGACGGAAAATGATGTTTTTTATTTTTTTTTTATTTTTTTTAAAAAGACATCCTAGACGGAATTTGAGTATCCTAGACGGAATTTCCGTCTAGGATACTATGCTACAATTTTTTTTTTTGCTGCTGTTGCTGCTGCTTGGTTAGGTATCTACTTTGTGCATTGAAGAATTAAGCCAAAAAATTACAAATAACGACGTTACTAATTAATTCACAGAAAATAAGTGCAATTCGAATGATACATATTCACCAAAAAAATGCAAACGAACGCGCAATCCGAATTATACACGTTCACAGAAAATACAGCAAGTAGCGTCATTATGGCTGTATTAATTAGCATTACAAAATCAGTCGCATGACAATGAGAAGAATCAAATATACATTAAGAATCCAATTTATTCTCCTATCGTGGTGGATGAAATAGCCAAACTGCCTACACTTTTGGAACACAGAAAACCTCCACAGCAGCAGAAGCTCCAAATGATAAGAATCAAAACCTAGCGCACACAACCAAATCATAAGAATCGTAAGAATAGACATTGGTAATGTAAACAAAATCAAAACCAATGTAGTTGCATAGAGCAGGTTATAGATTGTATCAGAAATAATTAGCATTTGGGCACAGAACTTCAAAAATCACATATTGTATCAGCTGACTTAACTACATAGCTGTTATTGATAAAAACCACCAAGAAATAGAAAGGAAATAATCTTACTCCAAAAAATTGATAGTCAAAAATTAGTGCAAAAACCCGGACACTGGTTGGTCTAGAAAGCCACAAGTTAGCTAAATGCAAGCTGTATACTAGAGGCCAATCAAAGATAGATACTCCCAAGTCCTAATTATAACTCTTGAAACCAATGTTTGCTAGTACTCAGACGGCGGGAAAAAAAAGGGCAGCTATAGGGAATTAAGAAGCTTTACTCACATGTTGCCCTCCTTGATATCGTCATTAGTGTGCTTATATAAGATTGATGCCAAAACATTGTATGAATGTTTAGAATATTTAAACTTACTATCAGGCAGGCATAAGCAAAAGAGGGTTAATTGTGCATAACATATATTGTTTTATACACATTTTTAGCAGATTAAGAATGCTATTTGTCGGACATAAATGGAAAGGTTCTTCACCTTAAGTGCTTAATTGCATATACATACTGTTAGAGAATGATAACTATAACTTTTACATCAAATTTTGGACGTTGTTAAGGGACATCTGGAGGTGAAAGGTTAACTTTAGCTTATAAACACAAGATAAATTTATTTTTTGTATAATAGTGAGACCTATATTCTGAATTTTCTAAATGAGCAGAATTACACTGATGGACAGATGCACATGTATATACAATTACAAATTCCACACTTACAACAGAAGTGTGTTTCAAGGTTCATGATCATAATAACTTTACCTTCCAGTTGTCGTTATGCTAGACTACTACATCATTATCATATCCATCACATTATCAGGAATGGATCCAACAATCACCTAACAAAAAATAGAGACTGTTTTTCAGGAGGCAGAGAAATTAAAGTGTGCAAACTAGATAATTTTCATGACAACAACACTTGCTTTGATATTGACCATCATACATTAGGAGCATTCTCGACTTTAACAATAAACTCACCTACCCTACTTCATCAAGTAAATTCTAGGATGTTGATAAAGCGGAATTGAAAGGGCCTTAATCAATAAATTGTTCCTCTCACATAACATGTAGCGCATTGAGCAAGTAATCCCAAAATTTTACTACCAACAATTACCATGAATATGATATAAAAATCTAATTCCTGCTCGAAGTAGAGTAGGTACCCATCCTGTCAAAACTGTGCTGCATTATGGGGGGAAACTTTCTCAGCTTCCAAATTAAAACACAAGACTTCTAGCAGACAGAAATTAGCACATTGGAACGTTAAACATATGCAACTCTCATAAATTACTGATATGGTTAAAAAGAAAATATAAGATAGTAACTACGAGATAATAAGATATTGCTAATTGCAGATAACTACATACTGCTAAGTTGTATCAAAAGTAAACACTTCAATGATAGATGGGCTGCATGGGCACATATCCCTTCAAGTATATGAACTTTTAATACAAAATAGCAATCAGAATGTCAAAAGTAATTACAACAGTTGAGACCAACAAAGTGCAGATACTTGTAAAAATTTCTGTGAGAAATTCAAAATGCAATTATGAAAATTGCATCATGTCAGTCCCTTTAGAAACTTATTACATTTATTATGCATATTTGAATACTTACTGCTCATGACCGCCAATTTTACGAACGATTTCTCTGTGTCTTACTGATCCTTTTGGACATGGATAGACCTGAAAGAATGCATCAGAGAAGCCCATCATGAAACAAATGTAAGCAGCCTGAAATCACTAGTGTCTAGTAGGTATGTTCACTAGGACGCTAACCTGATAAAAGTTAATAGAAAAAAATGCTGAATATAACTTTGACCATGCATTACTTGAAAAGAAAAATAAACCAAATTCATCATGAATGAGAAATGCATGCCTAAGTTAATGTTCCATAGCTTTGCTAAACATATTCTATATGAATATAAGATGTAAATCTCAACTGCGCAGTTGGTTACCTCTGCAGAAAGATCCAGCTCGGTCATAGCTTCCCGCACTCTTCGACAAAAAGGGCATGCCTCTGTTCAAAAAATTAATGTTAAAAATGTTTGATATTGTATTATTGTATATGAAACATGACAAGGACTCATGAAATGTCTAAACAGGAGTGATCTATTCGCCGCCAGCTCTGCTACTTCGAGGAGTTTCAGGGACCCGAAGGTGGGCGGACTCAACTCGCCCAAGAGGGAGTTCGACCGTAGGGCGAGGACTATCAGGTTCGTGGGCAGAACGGCCGGGACGGAGCCGGAGAGCGGGTTGAAGCTGAGGTCGAGCGACGCGAGGGTGGACAGGGTTCTAGGGGGAAGGCAGGGATCTTGCCGGAGAGCGCCGCGGAATCTGTTGTCGTAGAGGTCGAGGTGGGCCAGGGACGAGAGGGAGGAGAGGGCGGGGGAGAGCTCGCCCGAGTAGCCGGCGGGGTCGAGGGTGATGGAGGAGACGCGGCCGGTGGCGGTGCAGGTTAGGGTTTGGGGTTCTGTAGGGAGCGGCGTTGTGGAGGAAAGGAGCGGAGGGGAAGAAGCAATCGCGGTGGTAGAGAAGGCTCAGTTTTGGGGGATGAGGGATTTGATGGAGATGGAGTTTGAAGTTGAGGATTTGGGGGTTTGGGGGGGTGAGGAAATTTTGATTTTGGGGACGAAAATTTGGATTTTGGGGGGAACGGAGGGCAACGGGGGTTTTGACGAATTAAATTTTTTTTTTTAAATGGGCACGTATCCTAGACGGAAATTTCTATCTAGAATACATTCTAGACGGAAATTTCCGTCTAGGATACCAGGATTTTTAAAAAAAAATTAAAAAAAAATTCCGTCTAGAATACTATTCTAGACGGAAATTTCCGTCTAGAATGTTTTATCCTAGACGGAATATTCTAGACAGAAATTTTCCATCTAGTTTAATACATTCTAGACGGAAAAATTTCTGTCTAGAATATTCCGTCTAGGATACGTGAATTTTTACTAGTGTATGTATCTCAAATATTCATGTATTTTGGTATTTTAAATTTTAAATTTTAAATTTGTTATTATCAAAAGCGGGATATTGTTAGGAAGTAGTCCATACAATATCTCTTATTTGAGTAATAACAAACTCTTGTTTGATACTAATATTTATTTGAGAAGATATAGTACAGTTAAATACATGTATAAGAATTGTACGTACGAGGTGAAATGACGTGAAAATCAACTCGAGAGCTGATTTCAACCTTTTCACCATTGATGGTAGACATTGTAGACATTGACCAATGATGTTAAGAAGAGCTCATCGATGGTCGACAAGTGTCATTGATCATTTTTGCTCCAATGTCTTTTATATCATTGATGAGTCTCTCAACCATTGATGGGGCTTCAACACTATCGATGGTCGAATGCCACCGTTGATGATAAAAACGGCATATTGTATTTCTTCAAATTTAATCTCAGTCGTTCATCATATCCAATATCTTCAATCTCTATCAAGTTTAGGATATCTTCAAATCTTTTCAACAAGGAGAGTTGCCCTTGGTTTGATTTTCTTTATCATTCTTCATTGAGTTACGCTTATATTCTTGGAAGGACAGTTTGTTTAACATAAGGGCTGTAAGATCATTTTTCTATTTTTTGAGCTTTAACTGTTGTGTTGGTTTTACTTTAAACTTGTTATTACGACGTACTCAAGCCAGGTTTAATTGAGGGTTAGGACTAGCTAGGACTAGGTGTTACTCACTATGGAGAATTAGATTAGACGACTGATTTCGGGTAGATTTTAAGGTGCGGTCTTATAAGCTTATTGAATCGGGCTTGTGATTCAAGAGAACTCGATCTTTGCATAGTGAGGAAACCATTTGCAAGAAGAAAGGGTAGACGTAGAATTGTAATCCAAACTGCTATAAAAATCTTGTGTGCTCTTGATTTGTTGCTTTTTGAGTTTAATTACCGTTAAGCGTTTTTATTTTCAAGTGTACGCTACATATTCTGTGTTTTTCGTGAAAAACGGTAGCAAACTTGTTCATCTTGCCTCTAGGCATGCATCTTAGATCTAATATACTTGTAATGACCGTAAATTTTTAATACGGGTTTAAATAATTTCCTAGTATTTAAATATTAAATATTATTTTTCTAAAAGAGTATTTGTATTTTCCCAATTTCTCTAGAATTTTCTACGATTTAAAAATACGGTATTATGCTATTTTAATAGTTTTGCTAATTATAAATTTAATTGTTTTGGTAAATTTTTTTAAATAAATAGTTAATTATTCATTATTGTTATTGTTATTATTATTTTGACCATAAATTTTAATATTTATTTTGAATAAATTTTATGATATTCTTAAATTATTTAAGGGGGGATTTTTTCCCTGTGTTTTTCCTCTCACCGGTATTTCACTCTGTATCTTTCTCTCCCCCTAAAACCCTCCCCAATTCACGCAAATCCCCACCTCGTGTTTCCCCCCAACTCTCATCCCACATCCTCCCAACCACTCTATCACGTACTCTCTCTCTCATTAAAATCTCTCTCAGATCTCACTCACTCTCACTCAATCTATCTTTCTCTCTCTCACACACTCAACCCACATCACTCACACGTTCTCTCTCTCTCTCTCTCTCTCTCTCTCTCTCTCTCTCTCTCTCTCCGTACTCTCTCTCTCTCTTTTCAATCAAATCTCAGCCCCTCCACGCGAGCTCAGTCCGACGCTCAGCCACGCCGCCGCTCTGCCTCACCGCCAACGCCTGCAGCCCACCTCCTCCACGCCGCCGACCAGTTCCAGCAACCACCGACGCCTCGCCGCTGCCATCAACAAGCTCGAGCTCGAGCTCAGTTCCCCACGCCACCCAGCTTCGCCCAAGCTCCGCACGAGCTCCTCCTCCAGCCTGAGCTCGTCGTGGCGCACCAGCGAGCTCCACCGTGCCGCTGACCAACGCCGCCTCGCCGCTCGTCCGACCACGAGCTCCTCCTTCAGCCGCTCCCTAGATCCGCTCTCCCGCCTCCACGAGCTCAGTCCGACGCCGCACCAGGCCGCCGCCAACCTCACCGCCGTGCTGCCCCCTCAGCCACGCGAGCTCCTCCCGCGCCATCCAGCCGAGCTCTGCCTCCGGCCAGCGTCGCAGACCCCTAGTCCCCTCTCTTTCGCAACCGCGACTCGCTGCCACTCCTAGGTCGCCGACGATTAGCCACCCTCACCGAGCCCAAGCGCTATCGCCGCTCCTCGTCGTCCCCTACAGCTCATCATCGCCGCTGCTCGAATCTTTGTCGTCGCTCTCCTACACCGTTGTGTCTCCTTCATCGCACGCCACCTGTTCGACCATATGTCAACGCACATTCAGTTGCAGAACCACCCCCTTCTAGCCGCCAGCGAGCCCTTCGGAGCCCTGAGATATTCCAACGACATTCGTAGGCAAGATCCCGATACTCTCTTGACTTGTCATTCAATTCTTAGATCCGTTGTGAATAATTTGGTTGCTTGCAAGATCCCGCTCCCTGTTTCGTAGTTTAAATATTTACATTTATTATGAATTATTTGCGTAGTTTAATTGTGGATTGTTATTATCTGCGGGGGACTGTTGATGACGATATTACAGGATTTCAAATGATAAATTAATGTTTTCTAGATTAATTAGAATTATTATGATGAGAAAAGAGATTATTTGGAAAAAGAGTTAGTTTTGAATAATTATTAAATAGATAATCTAAATTAATTTATTTTGGAAAAACGGATTATTTGAATTGTTTGGTATATATATGAGAGTTTCCTTGTTTGGATTATTTTGCTCGACGTACTACGTCTTTTGTTGTAGATTTTTAAGTATTAATTCCATCTAGTGGTATGACCTAGTTAGTTGGGTGTTTGTTCTGATCGCTAGTTGTATGATCGACTTGTTACTTGATTGATTTTGTTGGATTTCCAGTTGTACATTTTCTCTGTCATTCTGTTATCGTATCGCTTTCCGTTTTGGTTTTCGTTGTTCTATTTGTTTGTGGGGTCTTGCCGTGTGCTATACACGCTGACGTATACCTGTTTTCTCTGGTGTACGTCAGACTTAGAGGAAGAACATGTCCAGCTGGGAGATCGCCAGAGCCCGAGTATTCTCAGTAGGAGTGCCTAGCGGACGGGGCAGAAGAAGAAGTCGAAACTTAGTTATTGGTCCTCAGTTTCTTTTGTACTACCTTTTAGTTCTATTTGATCAGTGTATTTTTATATTCTCCAGTATTTGTTCAGATATGTATAAGGGCATGTTTGACCTGTATATTATGTCTTTGATGATATTCATTTGTGATATGTATTATTTTCTTCCGTGTTGTTCATTATATTCTTGCTAACTGTGATCGGGGACCTGTGACTTCGCATTGTATTTATTTCCAGACGCTTAGCGTATTGGATTGAGAAGAAAAGAAAAGGAAAAAATAATAGTGTATATTTCTTCTCAATTTAATACGTCGCGGGCTTGTTCACGTTCCGATTCCCGGGTATTTTGGGAAGCGGGGCGTGACAATACTGCTCATATGGAGATTACCAACCCGGCTAGACTCTCCTGAGTTGTAGACACCATTGCTCCTTAGTAAATTTAGTAACAAAGTATATGAGTAGATGTACGTGTAACATGTTAGCATTTCATTCTTTAATGGCTTGGAGTGATACGTCAGCGATTCTACTTTTTTGCTTGTATTTGCATGTACATGCAGGCGCTTGCATGTTTTGTTGTGGTTTTTCATCAAGTAAAAACAAAATAATATGATAAAACATAAATATATTCCATTTTGTTGGAATATTGAAAAAAATGAGAGAATAGCCAGCCTTACATTAGCCTAACTTAATAAATGCTCAGACCCCATCAATGCTCAAGTGTAAAGAGAAATATTTCACATTCGTTATTCAAAACCGTGAAAATTGGGAAAACAAATTTAAATTAAAAGCATTTATCTAACCTTTGATTATGACATGGGAGGGGCAAGGAGGAGGTAAGTTCGACGATTTTACCTACCAAATCGAGGTGGGAACACCTAACACGCCAACTTATCTTTTTTAGTGGGCCCCCACACATAAAAAGGCACTTCGATGCTTCACACTGAAAATTGTAAAACAAGTTGACGTGAATGGTTCGCTATTTTTCCCAGCCTAGTCTTGAGGAGTAGCTACCTACACCAATCAAGGTTGTTGGCTCGCAAGAATCCAGTAGGGTTATAATCTGAAAAATACATATTATATACATACCTCCGTTTGACTATGGAACAATCCTTGCTCGCGGACCAACCGCGAGCCACAGCTCGCGTGAGAGGAACAGGGGGGTGGGCCCCCCCACTGTTGGGGGGCCCACCCCCCCTGTTTCTCTCACGCGAGCTGAGGCTCGCGGTTGGACCGCGAGCCAAATAGAAGAGTTGTTTTCTTTTACCTAATTCTGACAATCATGCTTAGCAAACCTACACTAGCAAATAATAACTGTGATTGGATTACAATGAGTCCTAGATTTAATTTTGATACATCTTTGTTGGATATTTGCCTTTTCGATTGAACTCTTGCATTGCATGTTTTACACTAATTTTAGAAAGCATTAATTGCACATAGACTCTTTATAATATTGTTGTTTTGAACTTACCGCAAATGTATAGACCTCCCGAGTAAAGAAATCTCCTTCACTAGTAGAAAAACGAGCAATCTAGACGGAAATTTCCGTCTAGATTGCTCCATTTCCCGTCTAGATTGGTTCACCTAGACGGAATTCCGTCTAGTTTGCTCCGTCTAGAATATTTCCGTCTAGATTGGGGCAAACTAGACGGAATTCCGTCTAGTTTGCCAACCTAGACGGATATTAACCTAGACGGAAGTAAAAAATCCGTCTAGGTTGCGAACTAGACGGAATTCCGTCTAGGTTGACAACCTAGACGGAATTCCGTCTAGGTTACTACTGTAGCAACCTAGACGGAATTCCGTCTAG